CCCCGATCCGACGCCACACTGCCTCCCCCTTAGGAGTGAAGCTGTCCTCAGCTTCTGGCTTGGTTCCTTGCACTGTTGTTATTATCCAGTGTTGATAAAATATCCAGTTCGACACTTCCCGCACCCCACATCTGGCAGGTTAGTAGCCCATGCGAATAGTTGACGAGGGACTTTGCTCTTGTAGACTTGCAGGAAGGACTCATCATCCATTGAAGGTCCATTCGCAGATGCAGTCCAGCTGGCTTTCACTGTCCAAGTCGTCGTCGCTGAATTGCCAATGCCTCTTCAGATGCAGTAGTCCTAATCCCGGGCAATGTCTATGGATCCATGCCATTGGATCGCAGAGAGACACGCGATTGGCTGAGGCCAGGTGGTCCAACATGTCTGCGCCCCGATCCGACGCCACACCACATCACACCACACTACACCACACCACACCATACCACACGTCGCCTCTCTTTGTCCTGCACAATTTGTCCGTATAATCTCGTGTCAATTTTTATTCTTTGCATAATGATTGCTATAAATTACTAATTATTTTTTATACTTTTTTTATTTTTGCTAGTTGTTATTTACTTGGCGATACCTTATAACAATGCAGCCTCTTTTACTTTTGACTCATATCCTGCAGAAACTAAAATGAGTCCTCGATCGACCCCACCAAGAATCCCTCTTGAACCTGATGAAGAAATCGAAGATGACGCCGAATATCTTCTAGAGGGGGAACCCTTTGAGATTGTCAGTGACCATTCTGATCAGGGTAATTTATATTTCAATCCGAATTTTTATTGGTCACACATAGACCTCGTGGCTCGTAGATCTTCTTAACTTGTGTGGCCCCTCCGTCATCGTGTTTTTAATAAACGGATGTGTTTCCCATTTCGCATAAACTCTGGTTTAAATGTGTTCTTAGTTTGTCTCAAATATCTAATACTAGCCCCTGTTCACTCATTTTTTTAAAATTAGAAGTCGCCTCAGATAATGAGGCAGAAATGCAGGATGTTTCCCCACTGCCAGATGACAGCATTCTTCTCTTGCAAAAGCATCAAGGTACGTGCTACGTTGGATTGTGCTCTTTGTTAAATAATGTTGCACCTCTTAGTTGTGGTCAATCATCACCTTATCCACGAACGCTCTTGACTTTGGTCTCCGCGTTAAGTCGTTCAGCTATTGCTGATACCGCCTACAAAAATACTGCAAAATTGCCTCCCTTCTTAGGCAGATTAATCGCAGCATGATGCAATATGGTTTTAGGCATCCTTATGTAGAAAAAAAAAATGAATCACCCCTTTACCTCAGAAGCCAAAACTTCGTTATTAAGTCCTTTTTAACCACATCACGACTGCCTATTCTCTGAATCTGAAGCCAATCGAAGGTGAAGAGCTGTGGATGCCTAGTCTCTTATTGCCAGAAGTAGAAATGCATTACGTATGCGATTGTTATCTTCTTTAGAAAGCGTATTTTGTGTCGCCGTTCACCCAAGCGCGAAGTACATCGTGTCCGGAGCGCAGGACCACACCGCCGTCATCTGGGACGCAACCACTGGCGTCGACGTCTTCACTTGCACAGGTCAGGATCTCCCCGCCAAACGTGACTTAGTCTAACCCCATGTTAAGTTGGTTAACCATGTCAAGGTCTCCGTTTGTTGGGCTGCCAGATTTTGATTGGCCAGGTTATGGGGACCGGTTATGAGATAGTTAAAACTCCGTCGTGCACTCAAAGCAGTGTATACTCGTAGGCCTTAGGCGTGCTCAAGATTGAAGCAGTCGAATGTATGTGGAGGGGACAGGGCATTGACCAATCCGATGTTTAGTGGCAGTTAAGTTGGAATTGCGGAAGTTACTCTATTTGTCTGGGTTGCGAAATCACAATAAGATCACCAATTCGAGTACACTTTTGAGTCAAAGGTGACGTCTTCCACGATCCAGGTATTTACCCTGATTCACCTCTTGCTCATTGTCCGAGGTCAACCTCTCGACAACGCCTTGACCTCGATGCCAGTCAGCTACACCTTGTTTAATTACCCGACCGTCTGCAGATGTGGGGAAAGTGTTTTTTTTTTCATTGAATCTCTCCGTAAATGGTTGCACTTTTCATGGTTCCTTGTAGGTCACGAAGACTCAGTGACAAACGTTGCTTTTAGTCCTGGTGATGGCAAGTTCTTGGCGACGGGCGACATGGCAGGCGGTGTGCAGATCTGGTCTAGTGACGCCTCAACGCCCGGTGGTTGGTCACTCCACCGTTCCCTGACTTTCAGTGACCTTCTTTGGCTTAAGTGGTGGCGGGGTCCCACGTCGTCCAACCAGAAGGCCGGCCCACTCGTTCTCCTGACTGGCTCTGTGGATGGAATCGTGTCGGCCTGTCTTGTCACCAGCCGGGCCAACGACGACAGACCCCTGAAGTATCTTGTGGGTGAGGACAGCTTACTACTCCTCTCTGTTCGTCCCAAAGGAATGTAAGAATTACCGGGGGCGCATTGAATTCGTGTTTTTAGGTCCTGGTTCTGCCGCCATCGGTGCTGAAATCGTGCCCTCCACCTACGCCACGGAGCGTCCCTACATCGCTGTGATGTACTCGGATGGCGACTTCCGCGTCTGGGATCTCAAGACCGAGCAGTCCGTCCTGACGGCCACCTTGACCCCCCCGAGTCAGAGTCCTTTGGAAGGCGACGACGCGATGGATGGTGAGGCGTCTGCGGGCTACCTGTGCATGGCTGCTCCTCACTCCGTCCCGGGAAGGGAGTGCATCGATATCGCCGCTGTCGGCTCATTTGAACAAATCACCATTATACCATGCAAACCTCCACCGTCGGATGAGACCGGCTCGAAGAAACTCCCAGCCAACAAGGTTGGTTTGTTGCAACCCCTGTGGTTCCACTTGATTTCATGCAGCCAGAGGAATTGTGATACTCCCAGTTGGGCGTGTTAGTATTTCCGTAGAATCTTTTAAAAAAGCTCCTTCTGCTTTCAGCTGTCTTGCATCTCGTTGGAATCTGCAGGCACAGTAGAGGCCCTAGAATTCAGCTGGACGTGAGTTTGATATTCAAGTAATTTTTTTTTATGTGATGTGTCTGAGGGCTGTATCTTTGACCTTGTTTGAAGTAGCTGTAGTCGGGTATGCATAGGAGGTGCCTCTTATTTGTTCTTGACATTCAGTCACCCTTTCCTGGCGTTTGGGACCGTGTCTGGGTTAATTGGCATCTACGACACCAGTTGCATGCGGTTGCGTCAGCAGTGGACCTACACGGATCCAACTTCAGGGGTAAGTTTTCGCATGTCAACCACCACCACCACCACCACCACCTCGCGTTAGTTTACGATGCCTCCTTGGTTTTTAGCAATTAAAATGCAGGTCGTTTTTTGTTAGTCGCTGTATTGCTTGACGTAAAAATCTCTCCATGTTAGCACAATCACCTCACAAAATCGGACTATTTGTTGTAGACTGATATGGGCTTCGGCATCACCGCATTGAAATGGAGTCAAACGGAGCCCGTTTTTTTCACCTCCACCCTCGCTGCCACCGTGGTTTCGTGGTCCGCGCTGTCCCGCGAACTCGGAGATGGTGGAGTCGGCGTCCCATTGGCTGTTTGGCGCGGCCACACACATGCCGTCCTTGACATCGTCTTGGCTCCGCCAATCATGGGCTCGCGTCCTGCTTTTATCGCCTCCGCGTCTGACGATGCAACTGTGCGGTTATTTGATTTAACTGGCCCAACGAGTAACGATTGCGACACGTGAATTATGCCACAATATTTTTTTCTAATTATCACTTTGTAAGATTATTCTTATTAGCAATGAAGGGAATCGTTATCGTAGACAAGGTCATTATCGCATTTTCCTGGTTGTGTTGACGAAGCAGTTCCATTCATCGGGAGTTCAGCCGTTGGCGGGAATGGTTTCAGCGACCACCGGTGCCTCGTTGGATTCAAGCATAACCGAAATATCACTGCATAGGTACAGTCTAGTCCACGCTTGCAACGTGATTGGTTGTTCTTTAATTGGCGCCAACCAAATCCGTTTGCTACCCCATAAGATTCAACCTGTCACCGTGAGCAACCGAGGAATAGTGCATTTTACTCGTCTAACAGTTGCCATCCAAGTCAGGGCACACGGGCTTGGTAACATAACCCCACATGCGTAGCAGAGGTTCCCCAACAATGAATTCAGACGATCTGCAAAACTTAGCGAATGCCAACCTCCCTAATCGTCGTTTTTTTGGTAAATTAGGCTACTTAATAGCCAGCCCCAGCCTATGTGTGTTCCCACTTTTTCCGGAAATCAATATCACCAAACTAGTTGACTTTTGATAAGTCTGCGATCGATTACATTGAAACCTGAACCGCGAGGGAGTATTTATTGGAAAATTCGAACCTCTATGTTCGCATTCTATCAATCTTTCAAATGCTTACAAGGGGCTATAAACATATTACGTAAGTCGATTTGCGCCCCGGATAATCGCAACTTTTGTACCTCTCCTGTGCAGGAGTGATTTTATGATGCCTACAGCACATTTTTCCAAGAAAAAAAGCTGATTCATTGACATCCAGACCGTTAGGAGGAGTTGGCAAGAGTCCGACTACAGCTGTCCACATCATACCAACCATCTTGCCAAACGATCACTGATATTCTACCTACGCATTGCGATCCTGCAACTTATCGACGTACTTGGGCTGTTGTAAGGACCGCGTCTTCTTTTCAGAAACTGGCTCAGCCGATACACAACCCAAATGTCGATCGATACTCACAAATACTAGGAAGCCAAACCAGGCTTGGTTCGGGGGCCCTTGAACGTAACCCTGTCTGCACAGTCAACATTCTTCCAGGCTGATTCTAGACGGTCTGCAAACCTCTCCGCTAACACCAACGTTTCTATTCGCTGTTTCCTTAGTTAAAAAGGCAAGTTAGTGGTCAACCTCAGCCTGAGTCGAGGCGTGCTCTCAAGCATTTTGACTTCCTGTGAATCAATTTCAGCATAAAACTGAGCATCTGATGGGTTCCGATTTTGTCACCCCACACCTCGTCTGTCGAGGTGGAAATCAACAAGTGGGTCGCATTTGAGAAGGCTAAGTGCTTCACGACGCTTCTTACTCATGACCCCCGTGTGGCATTCAAGCCAATCCCTCCATTCTACACGTGTTAGAGTGTGCTGGAATCGATAATGCGACAGGATGCCACACTTCACAGCCAGCAGTCCTTCCGACGTGGCAGCCACTGGCACTAGAGAGTAGCAAGCTTCTGGACGTTGTTCGGTGGAATGTCCTCGAACTACCACACCACAGGGTCTGGAAGTTGAAAAAGTCCAAACACACGTCAAGTTCACGCGGATTTTGGTTACAAAAAGAGTGTATGTGCACAGAAGTAGCTTGGCGACGTCACGCAGACTCAGTCTTGCTGTCGGTTCCGTTGGGATAGCGCTTGCGATACCGCTCCACCACCGCGGGATCGACCAGGTACGTCCCATCGAGTTGGTTTCCGAGGGTAATCCTACAAGGTACAAGAGACAGGAGGAGACAGAGGGGGAGAGAGAGACGTGCTAGTACACGCCAGGTGTCGCGCGTGTAATCACCAGTTAGCCTGGACGTTGTGCGGCCGGCCGAAGAGCTCGAGTTTGCGCGTGCCGGGCGAGAGGCGCTCAATGAGGCCGTAGATCTCGTCGGGCTTCCTGCTGGTCTCGCGCACCTCCGACACGATGACGTCGCAGTCGAGGCCCTTGTTCATGCACCGGGGGTTGCCCTTCACCCCGACCAGGCAGTGCTCCTTGCCGTGGTTCAACCAGTGCCCCGTGCGACCGGTCCGAATGAGGCGCTGCAGCTGGTTCGTCTTCACCCAGATCAGCTCGTCGACGCGCTCGTAGCCCCACAGCTTGAGGCACTCGCGACCCAGCTCCATCGCTCTGCAAAACACGAAACATTCACGTTGGAGCGGATTGGCCAATGAACGGCAAGTAATCACGACACCCAATCAGTGAAGTGTTTAATTAGCCAATGAGAAATCTGCGCGTTTGTTTTGAATTTGAACACCTGGCAGGAATGACACATGATTTGGAAATATCGGCGAAGATGATATCTAAGGAGACGTTTCATGCATTTAGTAATGACCAGATTACGTTGTTATTAAGATCCAACAGGAATGCAACTAAAAAGGAAGAATGAAGCCTCCGATCGAGTTCGCTCACAGGCAAGTTAAATGAACCAATGAGAAATCAGTGATCCAACCAATGGGGGGACAAACATCACGGCCCGAAAACCAGAGACAGTTATCGAGGAAATTTGACAGGTCTACTGTGTGGTGAGGGTCGGTTCGCCGTGAACGTACCGTCCAGTCACCCACAAGAAGATGTAGCCGTCGTCTTGCAGGCACGGAATGTCCATCTTCCGCATCTCGTCGTCAGACATTGTGCCGTAGGGCAGCTCCATGTGAATGTCCCACGGTGGATCGGCCATGATGACGGCGAACTTGCCCAGAATGGTCATATCCAGTTGCCTGATATCGCATTTTATCCACTGGAACAAACGGATCAACACATGAAATTCCAGTTACTAATTTCTTTTAAGTAGCATGAAAAGATAGAAGACAGAAAGCATGTTACAACATGGCTCGGCCTCACTAATACCGGCATTGTGAAACTGCGGAAGCATGTACGGCAAATATTTGAGACAGGATGTGAAGCTTGAGAGAAGAGGATTAGGTGACAAAGGGGTTACCTGTGGGGGGTAGAGGGGAACGGAAGCAGAGGCCGCCTTCTCGAGAGCCAAACCACTCTTTCTCTTATCAAGGGTATCCGGCCGAAGTTGGCCGCGATTGTAGGCGCCGGCGGCTTCTCTAGCCTCAGCCGTTGTCAAATCTGCGGGGTCGATCTCGTAGTGGACGTACTGCAACGGATAAAGGGACTGAAGCATGCTGAGACAGGCAACACACAACGAGGTGAAACCGTCGATGCCACAAGTTGGTTACCTTGCAGGTGTCAACGTGGAAGCAGGTATTGAGGAAGGAGCAGTCTCCAAGCGATTCTAAATAAGCAAAACAATGCATCACCATGGTTGACACAATTCACGCAGAAGTAGTCTTCAGCCCTACCATCGGTGTGGGCGTGAATGATCTTCTTAAAGTGCAGCTTCGTGCACTTTTCGGTTCGTGTTGCCTGGTTACAGTCGATACGGGTGCCGTGAACACAAAAGAGCTGGACCTGACTTCCACCGCGGGAGCGAAATTTTTCGTTGAGAAATTTCTCCTACAACTGTCAGAGGGAAGAAGAAAACACCAACCCACCATTACGGATGGCGTGTTAAGCAGTTCCATGATTTCCTCGTTTACGCGTTTGACTTCGCGCTCCTTTGCTGTGGCTGCGGAGAGCAGGCTCTCGAGGTCGCTGGTGAAGCTTACGTCACCATCGGATGATTTGGCAACTTTCATTGCAGAATCATGATCTCCGGATTCAATCGCTTGGCGCTTACTACCCTCAGACGAGAGTGCATCTTCGGAGGTGGATTTCCATCTACAATTACGCGGCATAATGAAGTTTGCAAACTAACTTACGATGGCGTGGGAGGTTCTGGGAGAACGGATGCACCTAAAGTACAATAACAACGATACTTATTTTGCAAATTAGACTAAACCAGTACCCAGACAAATTATGGTAACGTATGGATCAAATGGAATAGTGAAGTCCACAACCAACCAAAATGCAGCTCCACATTTAATCGAAATTTTTAACTCTGAGGTGGTTTCGGTTTATTTGTTACAGGTTCGTCAATTAAACAATTTGATAAGTGAAATTCTTGAAAATAGGTAGCAAAACAAGAACGCATGGTGAAATCACCTGGGGCGTCGCTTAAATCGTGCTGTGTAACCACGGGCAGTTTGGTGCTTGCATCTTCGGAGTTGCGTGGGGAAGTGGATTGGACTGGTTGGTGAGGCTTCGGTAATTGAGCTGCGGCCAGCAAAGCAGCCACGGTAGACACGGCAGACTTTTTCAACGGCATCACATTTTTAGTTGCTGCAGCAATCAAATTATTGCGCTTTTGCCTTCTAGCTGCTAACCTCTCACGAATCGACACTGTTTGAGCCCTCGCAGCGGCGATTTCATTCCCGGTTGAGTCAGTGTGTTCGGACATCATATAACCCTGGACTAATTGACCAGTTTCACGTCAGACGCTTTTTTAGCCACTCAATTAGAAAAACGCTAACAGGGATCCGTCAGTCTCCTCTCATTTGACCAAAGGGGCATACAAAATTATGTTAACAATTACTGGTGAAAAGTGGTGCCGAATAAAAAGTGTAAATAACTGGGTAAGAGTGATAGAAAATATATACAAAACGTGAACAGTAGCCTTTGATTTCACGCTTAAGCACCCAGTGTGATGTGGCGTCGGATCAGGGCGCAGACATTTTGGACCACCCGGCCGCAGCCAATCCCGTGTCTCTCTGTGTTCCAATGGTATGCGAGAAAGATAAATAGACAACCAGAGATGGACACGAGTGATATGCAGTATATAATGAGCGGCGTGGCCAGTGTGGAGGACTCAGATGGAAGGCGCCTGACGCGTGGCTCTGGCTTCTGATTGGTCAATAAAGCCTGTTCTGTTGTACCGGTCTTTTACCTATTAGGGCTCGGGCATTCTACAGTGACGTCGGATCAGGGCGCAGACATATTGGACCACCTGACCGCAGCCAATCCTGTGTCTCTCTGTGTTCCAATGGCATTCGAGAAAGATAAGCAGCCAAACAGAGAGGGACACAACTGAGGTGAAGTATATAACGAGCGGCGTGGCCAGCGTGGTGGACTCGGATGGGGGGCGTCTGACGCGTGTCTCTGGCTTGTGATTGGTCAATAAAGCCTGTTCTGTTGTACCAGTCTTTTTCCTATTAGGGCTCGGGTAATCTACACCAGGACCTGTACCGTTATCTGGTTGCTCAAAGAACCTCAAAGGCTGTTTGAAAAGTCGCGTAAGAAACTCGGATATTTAAAGCAAATGATTTGTTGTTATTTTTTGGTCACACTGTTGTCATATTCTGGATGTTTTTTGGCTGGAATTACTTTTAATAATTCGAAAATAAATGAAAAGGAACACTAGCCATAATTTAGTTAAAAAATATTTAACAAATAAACGCAATTACCGTGAGAAGTAAGAAGAAATAAGCACTATTATGTTGCAATAAGACATAATTGTGAAAAATTAGGTCATGTTATTTTAATTTTTTCGTTTTTTTTAAAGAGAAAACTGTTCGATATCAGATTGAGCTGATTATGCTCAGTTGTCATTAAACTTACTATCTTGTGTTTTAAATATACAGGCAATAATCTTATAAAACCCGTAATTCACGTTTTTAATGGCAACTATGCTTTTTTCAAAGCTTTGGCTTAAAAGCCTTTGTTTTCAGCTGACAATTACAGAAAAAATGAATGAACTAAATCAAGGGGAAATATTAATCTCACTTGCAAAATGGTTATCTTAGTGTTTGGGTGAATTTAAAAATTTTATACATTAGTCAATTTAGCCTATTTGAACACCACAGTTTCTCCAGAATAAATAGACTTTAGGTCGTGTACTTAAGTATTTTTGTGAAATTTTGCGTACTGTAGCTACAATTGAGTCTCGTTCTCGTAGGGTTCCTGAAATCTAGGGCAATGGCCCATGCTTCTCCTGAAAGGGTGAGTACTGCCTTGCTAGGGCTTCCAATCATGGTTATACAAGAAATTGCCTTATTGACACCGATGTCGCTTGATTAGGTGAAGTCCAACAAAGCTCAAACATAGCTGCCTTTGCGCTGATGAATGATCGTGTCTTCTGTCTCCCAAATTTTTGAAAGCTGAAAAGTGGATATATGTAGCGTAGTGCTCAGCAAACCATGTAGTCATGTTGCAGTTTGTTTTAGTGGATGCACTCGTAAAGGATTTTTTTCGACCATCAAAAGTATGCTTTGTTTGAGAAGATTGGATGACTATCTCACTGTAGAGATCTAGACAGCTCCTCAGGGCTTGCGCATCAGCTCGACCTGACGATTTCCACGCTGCCCCCACGAAGAACGTAAGTTGACTTAATGAATGAAATAAAAATTAACCTAATTGTTAAACTGCCTGTCTTCGAGAAACTTAATGCATCCACTACTAAAGCGCCCCCATTCCATGCCTGTGCACTCCGACTGGAAACCTCGTGGAAAGCGTACAACATCTTCCTGGGACTCTAAGTTAATATAACGACGAAGATGTCATTAACATCCAACCTGTTCCATTGTGTAAAGAAATGTGCTTTTGCTAAAGCCGCCTTTGTGTTGTGGGCCCCAGCATGTAGTCTTGAACTACGTCGTGGCCACTGGATTTACTATGGCCAAAGTACGCATCCCCGATATCCAAGATGAAGAAAAAGATCGGAGAGGACGTGGACGCAACCGTTTACATCAGAGCTCAACCACGCTGGTGTCGTTGTGTCGTGGGTGGAGTTGGCGCGTGTGTATTTATACCTCGGATGTGTGAGTCATACATGCGCCAAAATCGAGCACCAGGTGTGAGGAGGCTGTTAGGGATCCGAGAGGCTGGCCACGTACTCCTGGTACATTTGGCCTGGTGCACGGGATCCAAGGTAACTAGGCTGTCTAGATTTGCAATTCAGGGATGTCATGGCAACACGATTCAATAATTACAAACTGATGCTGGGTTGAACTAAATCCCATGGACGCATCTGGTCAGCGATGCGGTTGACGGTGATAGGCACACCCAAGAGCCACTCAAGTGACTACTGCCATTAACCGGTCTCGCTAATTACTTCCCTAAGAGCGATTTCTGCATCCAAAACCAAGAAGACGCCAAGTGTTAAGGCACTTCTCGCCTGCTTCAAAGCACTACAGTCAATGAGGCTTTGAGTAGCACCTAGAAGTTCTACTCGCAAGATTCGAGTTCTCAAATGCTGAGTATTAAAATTAAATCGAAATGAGACGCCCTTCGCTGGCTGACACTGCTGGCGGACGCACATTTTACCGACCATTTGGGTATCGATCACGAACCAGGATTTAGCCAATAAGGCTACAGTGAGGGCGGAATTATGGACGAAACCTGTCAAAGATAACTGGCTAAGGGAGAAAAGTTACTGTACCCCTTAGGGAAGGCACGCTTAATTCAGTAGTTTTGAAGACATTATCTGTGACAAATTGACTACTAACAAGTAGCCAGTAGACACTAAATACCGAACCGACAGCTGGAAAGCAAGCTACAGACGGTGACACAGTTACCATGGTATATTATAAAAGAGTACACGCGAAAACACATTAGTGCTGGTCTCGTAGCTTTGCCTGCAAGATGGCTAAATGCCGAAAAACGTATGCATCTTTGGGGTTCTTTTTATCAGCGTAAGCGGCGGCTTCCAGAAGGCACTTCTCGCCTGCTTCCAAATCCCCAGATTCCGCGATTGCAACGCAGAGGTTGTGCCGCGCCTGAAGATCATTGGGAGCGAGACTGCTCGCCTTTTCAAAGCACTACAATCAAAAGGAGACCTTGAGCGGTATTTAGAAGTGCTACTTACAAAATATAAGTAGTACGATATTGTGGTGACGGAATAATGAGTTATTCAGTCGAAAACCAACCTTTATGGCCGCGTCGGGATCATTTCTGACGGATAACTCCATGTCTCCTAGAAGCATGTAGGACTTGAAGTGGTCGGGGTGGTGCTAGAGAGTTTAAAAATGGGCGCGCTTAGTTCGAAATGTACAACGTCCGACATCGTGCGACAAACAGTTTAATTAAAACGCTTTGCGGAACACAGACTTCCGAAAATCAACCACTCCGATTGGCCCATTTCGTCCGTGGGCGAAACTGCCAAGGTCACCCAACACTAGTGCCCAGTAAGCTTCACATCGCCAATGCTTCGTCGTATCGATTGACCGGTTTATCGATCCGGTAAAAGCGACTCTACACGACTGAGAACTCACCTCAATCAATCGATTTAACAAGGGAACTCCGGAGAGGGAATCATTGAGCTCATTGTGATACATTAGGGCCAGGTTAAATAACGAACTCCGATGCGAGGGGTCGATCTTAAAAGAAAATCGATGAACAAAAGGAGAGTGATTTTACCTTCAAAACCTCCTGATAATGTCCAGCCGCGGTACCGTACTCTCCGATATCGGTGTAGATGATTGCCAAGGCGAAATGCACACGTACGGGTTCAAAATTGCGAGCTGCAAGTTCTTCAAAGCTATAAAATGAATGCTACTTATACATTTGAGTAGCGTGATTTTATTATAATAATGGCAGTGGAAAGCTGTTCTACTTACTACATTTTGGCAGTATTTCGCTGGATTGGATCAGCACTCTCCGAGTAAGACGAAGCGAGGGCAAACTTTGTTTGCTGAAGTAAATATGAAATCAAATTCTTTGTATCATAAGGGTTTTAAACTGCAATGTAGCAGCTTAGACATGAATTCCTGAAAAGCTCAATGATTTCCGTAATGTGACCTTCACCTCAACCAATCAGAAGTCGATTGACAAAATAAGACAATGTAGCGGGATCGGCACACTTTTGTTGGGCACAGGTCTAGCAGATATGGGATGACAACAGAATCATTGATCAAATCAGAAAACGGTTCGAGTCGGCGTGATCGACCAGACGTCTAGTCAGTGCCAAGTGCTTACTTCATGATCCGGATCAAAACGGAGGGCCTCCCGGAAGCTAGCGTAAGCCTCTTCTGTGCGATTAACTTCTAGAAGCACCACACCAAGCTGAATTGGAAAAAAAAGTCAAAAGTGAAAGCTCTGTACCGCTTTTATTGCCGTTGACATGCCATTTTTTGTGCAAGTTATGAAAAAAAAAACCAGCAAAATCATGCAATTTTAAAATCGAGTGACCGACAGATAGCTTGTCCCGTAAAAATTAGCTTACGTTGTAATGCAGAACAGCACTTTTGTACTTAAACCTGAGGGCTTTCCGATACATCTCCTCGGCTTCTGCAAACCTACAAAAAAGAACTACTTAGAAAATGCAAGTAGACATGCACAAAACGGCTGCGAAAGCACGGAAGAAAGACAACCTTTGCTGTCTCACGAGAATGCTGCCCCGAGTCTGGTAGGCGTCCACGTTGTCCTCTCGAAGCGAAATAGCTCGCCGCAGGAGCGCATCAGCCTCGCCCAAACGATCATCGTCTTTGGCGAGCAAGTTGGCCAAGTTGATGAAGATGCTTAAGTCCTTTGGGGATACTCGTGTGTGATACACCACTCCTGCACGGAAGCATAATTACACGTTTGATTAATTGAAAAATAACCACTACTATTTTAGAAATCAGTAGTAAGGTGACCGCACCTCTCTTGGGCTTGGGGAAAAATTCAAGCGCCTGATAGTAGACTTCCTCGGCTTCCTTGTTGCGTCCAAGTTGAACAAGAGTACGGCCGACGTTGATTCTAGCGCCCATGTCGTTAGGTTGAACCCTGGAACAAGCGTGGAGGGTGATGCATCAAGGCTAATTCGTTCCGTGTGCAGGCGTTAATTAACTCAATGCGTTAAGGCCAACCTCACTGCCTGTTTAAAGAACTCCAGCGCCTCGCCGTGCATCGATTTGGCCTCCAGGGCATGGCCAACATTGTTCCAGAGTTTCGCGTTGTTCTGATTCACTTTCAACGCCGACGTGAACAGAGAATATTCATCTTTCCTAGAGAAAAAAAACTGGTACCGTAGAGTGGCCACACGCAGTGTTTCCCCATCTTCGTAACAAGGAGACCCCTCAATTACAACTAAAATTACTCGCTACTGAATTATATTAGTAACAACGGCACAAAGTCACGGCATCGCGCCGAATGGAAGAAAGGTAAATATGACCGATGGTTTATCGTCCACAACTCCAATTTCACTATGCGAGAAATCGATAATCTTTAACGACTATTAATTGACTTTGTGAAATTGCGCCTTATTGAAATAAAACCCGCCAAACCGCCTACCACATGTCTGAATAAACAAGAGATTTAGTCAAATTGAACAATAACTCACCAATCGTAGTTCCGGTGAAATGTTTTCAGACCCAAAACTGAGCAGACAAGCAGAAGCAAGGAGACGGAGAGGGTGCGTGAACTAAATTAGACGTTGTAAACAGACAAAATCCACACTATCCATAGCGAATGCACCAATCAGTGTTAAGGCCAACTTACGACGCTGATTTGTTGACGAGGCGCTGAAATCCGAAGCCCATGATGAGACAGAACCCCAGACTCGGGACGTAGAGAACGCGTTCTGCAACCACAAAGCCCACGTAGAAGAACAAATTCGACGCCGGAATGAACGGGAAGACAAGCAAGGCAAGGCCCTATAAAACGAACTTTAAAAAATCATCTCTACTTAAATGTAATTAAGTAGGCGTGCACGATCCACACCATAGACAAGGTGAGTGCCGTTTGGGGTGGCGTGCGAGACCACGCACAGCGAAGGGCGACGGTAAGAACGCCAACCAAGGTGAGAAGGGTGAGGGCGTTACGAGGATCGGCAAATGAGACGATGAGGGGAATACTGCCCATTGTCCAATCAGCGCACAGACCCGAGGGGTAGAAGAGCAGAGCGGTGTTCACGAAGAGAAGATGGAGGTGCGTCAGTCGTCGAGCAAGGGGGGCAGCGTGGGCTGCGGGATTGTCAAATCTACCAGAAAAACAAACCGTAACCAGGGTCGACAAGAACCAATAAAGACAGACTTAGTAAAAATGTAACCGTACGGTGTGAAATGCGGCAACTGGGATCCCATAACTTGGACCCGAACGAAAAGGAAGAGCGAAGCTGCCATGGCGAGCACGACGCCACGAAGAACCAGTCGCTTCCAGGACCTTGTTTTGGAGTGCTTCTCGTTTCTAATGTAAAAGGTGTACTACAGCGCGGAAACTAAGTGAAAATGGCGACACTTACGATAAAGTGAAAGACAAAATCGTAGGCTAGACAGACAGCGACCACAGTGATACACTGCTCCTTGCAGAGAGTGCCAACGATAACGAGGACAGACACACATAAAATGTGGCAGATTTCTAAAAAGACAAGTAATTTCCAGATGCAGATTTGAACCAACTTAAACAGCAGGAGCAACTAGAAAAGCCTTCCTTAAAGGGATTTCGATAAACCGTCTGCATTGATAGAAAAAAGAGACTTACCTGACAGTATGGTTTGACTTTTTTGCGAAACAAGTTTCAGATAAAGTTGAAGCGATGACAGGAAAAACATCGCTGAGAGAATCTCGGCGCGGCCCACCACGCCAGTGACAGCTTCCACATGAACGGGGTGGACAGCAAAAATGAGGGCGGCAGCGAGAGCTCCACACGAGTCCAAAAAATTCCGACAAAATTCGTAAAAAAGGAGAACAACGACGGCGTGTAAGAGGAGGTTGACAAAGTGATAGCTCCATGGGTTCAGGCCAGAAAATGCGTAATTCCAGCGGTAGGAGAGAACGGTCAGCGGGCGATAGGACTTGTGACTCGAGTCGTGAGCCATTGGAGTACCCCAAAAGTCATTACGGAAAAGCGACCACGCCGAGGTAATGTGTGGTCGGAGGTCTTGATTGTCTACGATTGCGGAGGCATCATCAAAAACGAAATTGCACGTAAGGCTATTGCTGTAGACGAGGAAGGTGAGGAGGGTGAGGAGAAGGTAGTGATATTTTGAGGCGCAATACTTTTTCGACAGGGAAGGAACTTTATTGTTCCCAAGCTCATTTTTTGAGGCTCTACACCAAAGACAAAAACATACCTTATAATTGTAGGGGTGCACTAAGATAAAGAGACATTAAATTAATAAAAACCCTTGTCATCAAAGAGAACAGTGGATAAAGAAGCACAAACACACCTCTCAACTGGGAGGCTCTATGTTCGGCCTTACATAATACTACATATCTGTAGGCGTCAAAGATGCATTCCAACAAATATGCTCTTTTTATGTTTGATTGTTGACCTGGAGCGAAAAATAGAGATAATTATGATCACTTTAATGGGATTGACAGAATTTGTAACCAGAGTATGTACAAAGCACACATGCAAAATTTGTAAATAAAAAAAAGATATAAGTCTTACCTGATGCGTTTGCGCATAACAAAATAAAAAAGACTGTGTGCACATCAAAGCACAAAGAAAGTCATGTAGCTAATAATTGGCCGATACAATTATTTATAATACGACATTAAAACAGACTCACTTAAACGAATTTTCCAAGGTTGTCATTCCAGAATAGAAGTTTTTTAATGCCTATGTAATAAAGGGTATTTCGCCTAAATTTTTTCATTTGTCAAAATAGAATTCAGCTAAAATGTCGAAATTTAGCCATTTGCTTTTATTCTTTTAATACCAAGTATCTCAAAACTTCGTTTAACTTGAACTTAATTTGCATGATAATAAGCAATACTTACTTCTGGTAATAACGTCCATATGCATTAATAATCTATTAACATGCAGTCATGCATTAACTTTAAATGCATTCACCTAGGCAATACTAAAATATCCTCTTAACAGGAAATTTTAGATTTTAAAGATAACGACTGCGATAAACATTTCACTAAAAAGCTCATTTTAAGTTTAACATTAACTATTAATTAGAGTAAATATGAATAAGAATTGCCACGTTTAACTTACATAAAATGTCTGAGTGGAAATTATATAATACGCACAAAATATATATGGTGTGCATTATTTAGGTATGCATTACAAAAAGTTAATTTTTTTAATTTCAACTTTTTTTGTTAGAGTGCTAATTAAAATCATTGAAATTTTTATTTGCAAAAAATTATGTCAGGTCTAGCGCAAACTTTTGGGTACTAAATTTTTTATTGAACTTGTTTTCTGTCTGACTATTTTGGATTCTTTCGTCGTTGAAATGATTGTCGGTATTCAATGATGCACAAAGATGTATATCATTACATTTTACTGACTGCTAATATTTGCTTTTGAAGATATTGGTTTACAACGACTTGTGGATGACTAAAATGGGGGTGTACTGAAAATCGGATGTAAAAGAGTCAATTATGTGGCATGTTTTTTTGTCACATCACATACACCATTTCATAACCATTTAATCAGTGATTGTTCGAATGCTGGAATCTGCATAAAAAATGATGTCTACAGATGTTTGCAAAATTGTCATTATTTATTATATTCTAAAATTTTTACAACAAGATGATCATCTTTGCAATTCGATATTTTGACGTGGCCGAGGGATGTTTTTTGGTAAGGGATTCAGTATAGCCAAAAAGTAGCGGTTCTATTATATTTCACTAAATCCTATTTATATAGGAAGATGCGATTTTTTCGTAAATTTCAGCAAACATTTTGGAAATCTTCCTTTAACTCATATATAGGGCAAGACTCTGTGTTGTGTTTCTTCTACGAAAACTGAATAAGTTTTACATGCATTCCGATTCACTACTGGAACATCTTTGTGCCACATGGATGGATTGATTCTATTGCTCATACAGTATTTTGTCGAAATTGAGTGATATCTACTTTAAAACACTCTACTACGCAAAAAATGAACATCAAACTGTCGAAGGATACAATAGAGCAACTTGATATTGTATCCTTTGACAATTCATTCAACGGTAGTGTTTGGTTATATTAATTCAAGGATTGATTGCCAAAGACACATTTTTTGGTTTCTTTACCCTGCATGCGATGCTGTGGAACGTGTGGAATGATCCGAGTGGGGAGGTTGATTTACAATCTGACCAAATACCCAACACATCCCACTTGGTTAGCACAACTCTGTGTTTAGGGTATGTCAGTTGTCAAACCATGCGACAGTTCCTCATGATGCTGCCAACCAGTAGGCAATTCGTGTTCATCCTAGTCATTGACGGTATTTTCAAGCAACGAAATAAGCAAAGACTTTAATGATGGCAGAGAATGCGTGAAATCCCTTGATTCAAACAATCCATTTTAGTTGAATCTTCTTCAGCGTACCTAACACAACCAACTGATTGTGCTTTAGCTGCATTTTAAGCACCTGTTGAAGGACCTGACATGTTGCCTTGAACCACATTGGGGCCACTGCGACAGTCTAGGCCGAATACGTTACCCTGTGTTCCCACGAAAATAAAGAAGACCAGAATGGCGAAGGCACAACCGTTTACCCGCGAGACCAATCTGTGCTATTCTTAGTCTCTTCCAAAACATCCCCATCTCGACTCTACAGCGTCACAAACCTTGCACTCTTCACTCTGATTCAAACGAAATTGCAGAAAAGGGACTGCTCAATTTTGTGGGGTTAACTCGAAGCCAGTAGACGCCAATCGGGATGGACATCGGATGCATTTGTCAAATCACGCCAATCATCATCGTGAACGAAGCAGGAGTGTGATGGGAACATAGGTTGGATTGTTTGAGAGGGCTGTTCGGGGATTTATGTCCAAGACGTGCAACGCATGTGAGGGACCTTCCGTTTACGAACAGCATTCATCAACGCCGTGATCACTAATATATCATCGACGGCATCAACATCATGGTTGCGTTGACATGCATTAATTTTGATTGATGAGTTGTAGCAGACGATGCTTTTATACTCAGAATTCGCATTTTTCTAATAGGCGCCGGACGTGGACTTGCACTACACAACTTGCCCCAATAACACGTCAGATTACCTATGTTTAGTCAATCTTTTGCAGCACTCAGAATCCCATGAAGACTGCAATGCCACCGCCAAACAGGACGCTTGATATTTGACATTGTCAAAATGGGGTAACCGTGTTGCAATGTTCGCAAGCAGATTTTGCTCGCATTCGGCAGAAACATTAGATTCATTCACGCCATCTGGTTGGGCAACGTTTGCCTAGCAAAATGCGTGGGGTGTGAAAATGAACCAGCCACCATCAAATCGAAAATGGGAAGTGTACAACGCTTGATCAATCATAGCTGCTTGGAACTCGATGCCTGAAAAAAACGACTGGTTTTTATTTTGCATCGAACTCTTCTTACACAAGATGAGTTTTGCGCTCCTCTTTTACTTACAGATTTTAGCATGCACCTTATACCACGTTTATTGAACTCTGGTGCATCCGTGGCTAGTTACCCATTCCGGATTCACGTCTGTACCTAATTGTAGATAAGGCAGTGTGTTTGCACAGATGACAACATCCTTCGTTTTTGTTTCCATTAAATGCACGTAGAATTAGTTTTGTGTTTGTTATTGTCATCCCCGGAAGCCCCAGTCTTAACACATTTCTCGAGTTTGTCGATAGGTTTGTTGTTCGCAATGTCTGGACAGTCCTGGCATGATAATTTGCCTACCCGTCTGCCCATCTACTGACACTTTGTCTCCATTGAAACTGTGTCAAACTTTACCGAACCAACGTCAAATGCCGATTCTGTGTCCTCAAGCGTGTAGATCCAGCATTTCTAAATGCTTGTTTTTATTAGTAAAAGAAGACGTTCGTAGGAATTAATTGTGCATCGAGGCGGTCACACGCATTATGGAATTTCCACCAAGAAAAGAGATGCATGAGTGCCAAATCTGTCACGATGTGCTTGCACTTGCACGACGATTCACCCATTGCCAATGCTCTCAAGTGATCAACCAACGTGGTCGTTGCACTCTGCCAATTCAATAAGCACTACTTGATTGAGAAGAGGCTTTACCACCTATACGGGCGTGCATTCAACAGATGCATCCAGCTTTTTTGTGAAGCGGTGTTCATGAAACCGCATCCACCATCACTTCCACACACCTCTTGAAGTGAATGTATCAACGTACGAGTCTGGTTGCTGTGTTTCCTACAGCGGTTGCGCCAAATCACTCTGAGTTTCCACGATAGTGAGAAACTTTTGTGTTCAATGTTGTGTCAACTTCGCGTTGAGAAATGAGATATATTTTACTGTGTGCCTTGCTTTCTAAGAGAAACCAAATGACCGTGCCGATATTGCTTTACCGTGGGGGAAAAACTTACATGATGCGGAATATGATATTATGGCTCTAAATGTCCCGAAAATGAGTTGGCTCGTGGATTTGTCTTGGTGATTAATGTTGAAATCAGTTTTCGTGTTCTTGTGGCACCCAAACGTGTCTCAGTCTTCAGTGGCTAGGGTTTCAGCACTACCTTACAATCCCCTAGTTAACAGCCCTATACGCCTCGAGGAAAGGGGAAAAAGAGGCGACAGAGAGCACGACCGTTTATCAGTGTCACACCAGGCAAGTGGCCTTGTGTGCGTAACAGGTAAATGTTGACCGAGGCCAATAACAAAAGGGGTGAGTCGCTGGTCCACTCGGGTCTCCATGCACGCACACTCACGCGAGGTGGCTGCCAGTCCACTACAAGTCGACTTGTGGTCGCGGCGCATCAACAACCGCATTTCGCTCAAGTGCTTATCAAGACACATCGATATGGTTGCTATGTCATTGGGGTGAACACAAAATTCACTAACTGGCACTTAGTACTAAATCACCTAATTAGGGAATCGTAGGTCTAAATTCAATTCATAAGCTTCACCTTCAAACTTGCGACCAGATTTGCGCTTTTCCCTCCAAACAGGTTCCAAGAAGAAAGTGGATGCAACGCACAGCTTTCCAGTCAAGGGAAATTAATTGCGCTATTTAATAATGATCATGTTCTGCAGTCTCGTGTGTTGACAATACAGTAGCCGGAATGCGATTCCAGCAGTGGTGAATGCTCGGATGTCTAGCAATAACGACAGTGGATAGCACGCCGCAAGGATTTTTTGGCACTGAGGTTGTCACACTTTAAATCGAATATTTCGGCAGATCATTGAATTGCAAGCTTCGTATGTGCAGACGATTTTGGCAGTGTGGGACCGCACAATGTCGAAGCGAAGTTTTGTTGAAGGGAGAAAATACCATCTTTGCAACATGCATCCTTAGTGTTCTCTCAGCGCAAAAAAGCACCTCTTGGTAGTGGAGGCTCAGTGCGGAAGACTGTTTCGTCAGTAAAGTGTTGAACCTCATTGGCTAAATGTGCGTAGGGCATGACCAATGCAAATCATTTTGGATTGACCAGAAGGCAGAGTGCTTCATACAAACAAGCAGGGTTAAATATCTCATACCAGAATTCTTTACTTGTGTCTCATTAAATTTAATACGTTGTACGACGTATGCAGCAAGGTAAATGCAGGAGAAATTGTTGAGATGACAGTCAAGATGCAACATCTGGCGTCATTGCTTCCGTGTGTTGGTGGGTGGGTGCAGTAGTCAAGTGAGGTGTGGATGCACGACTTATTATCATCAATCATTGCCTACCAGTGTGACTGACACCTCTAATTAATTCTGTGCTTTAATGCACGGACAACCACAACCACTAAACCACCGACTAACAGAAGGCTAAATGCCAGGACAAACGCAAGCCAAAACATTAAGCGTATCCACCAATAAGATAGCAGGAGAGCAGCAAGAAGACAATGCATTTATTTGACCGAATCTAAGCACTACAAAGTCGTTGCGGAAGATCCTCCTCTGAGTGCAAGAGAGTTAGCCGCGCTTGCACGCTTTCTCACAAACCGTTTTTGACTTGAATTGGTTGGCGTTACCACCACAGCCGCCGTACAGGAAGGGAACGCATTGCTGCGTGGCTGCGTTGTAGCCCCACCTCAGAAAGTTTGCCTTACACATCCCGGTCTGAATGGGCAGATAGCAGCGATTGTTGCGGGCTTAACCAGTCGGAGAGAAAGGATGGGGGGATTAAGGAAGGGAGGGAGGGAGAGAAAGGAATAAAAGTCGCAAATATTAACACCGAGTAGTAGCATCTACCCACGACGATCTAGCCTTCTTTGATCCTCTCTGAGCATTAAGCATCAGAGAACTGTACTTATGTGTACTAAGCATAACAACACGTGAAGTACTCGGATGTGTGAACGTTGACTGATGTCACAGCACATTTGGAATATTGCTACATTCAGCGGATGCTGACAGCTGTGAAAGACAAAAGGGCAGTATTTTCATGAAACCGTAGTCATGTATCTCACAACAGGATGTGTAGCCTGTTCTGAATGCATTCCTATTGGCTTATCGGTGTGAGGTGATGCACAAGAAACTGACCAATTACATTCGTCCGCTTACCTTCTGTGACGCTGGCGAGGCAAATTGCGACCAAGATGAGAACTGCGATCATGCTCGTGATATTGCTTACCAGGTTGCGTTGCCTCCTCCTATTTTATACACCCAATTCCACCACACGTCGTTGTGTTCATTGGTACGAGTCAAGGTCAAGAGTGTGTGTGTGTGTGATGTCTTTTCATTGCTGCGCTTCAATTGCTTCAAGCATATCTTCAGCATGACTGCAGTGCAGGTGTTGCCCCTCTTCCCAGAAATTGCCAGCTGACGTTGTTGGCGTGATCGCATCTCGAATGTGCATGCCTAGTTTCCGTTCTGCTTTCGTTCACACGCATGACCAAATTGTGTTGTTATTAGTCTTCTCCAAAGCATCTTTAGCAGGTTTTGCCTCTCTCCAAAACAGGTTTCCTAATCACATGGCTGAGAAAAATGCCCAAAATTGCACTTACCTACTTAGAGTTTTAGATGTGTAGTATTGACGCAAAATGTTGATGATGAGCTGTAAAATAGAGTAGATAACCCCCCGTGGGTCAAGACTTGTGTGCGTGCAGCATTTGCTAACACTGCGTATGTGTACACTCACAAAGCCAACCATCAGGCTGAAGGTGTTTTTGAATGACTTTGCTAAAGAACGTTTCGCTGCTGCCAAATTGACAAGTTAGTTCGATGCCGATAAATTCGAAGTGCTGAGGCAGAAGGTGACGACAATTTACGAAGGCATAACCTGCCGCCTCGTCTTAAGCATTCGGTTAGTGTGTGCGAAATACGTCGTGGGACGCCAAACGACGTCAATCCCTAACTCGCATGAATTACTAGAAGACTCAATGAAATGTTACGAGCGCATTGATTGGAGTGTAGTGAATCGTGTTAATTCTCATCCACCAACTGGGTCGTCGAAGGCCCAGACACACGTCCTCTTTTTCACAGTATGACCGTCAGCTATGCAGGAGCGCTGCTCATTCACACCCGTGCATGTACCACCGGTTCCCGCTTCATCCATTTCCCTTTAAACATCTGTACATTAATTAAGTCGTGCACACGGTCTCAGCCAACGGAAACACATGAGGTATGCACTACATTTAATGGGAACAGGGGGCAAAACACAACTGTCTCGGGTCTCATTCGTCTTCGCGGGTATAAGAGCAGCGTGATTGGCCTAGATACATCACAGTGACTGTGGTTTGATTTATGGCAATATTTCTGGGACCTGGACAGCTTCATTGAACTATGATGTCGATGTTGATGGTGGTTACTATCAGACATGGACAAAGTGGTTGGGAGTCTGTTGAAGATGATGCTTGAGAAGGTGCGATAACTGGTGCAACCGGGTCGTTCATGGGATCCAGGCAACGCTAATAAACAAGTTTTGCTGCGATGATCATTGTGATGCGTAGCAAGACATTTGGATATGTGTAAGCTTTAGGTACTGGTCATAGTATCCACACCTTTGACAGATCACAGAATTCTGGAATTGGCGAATGTGCCTGCCTAGTGCCTTTTCTGCATAGGGGGCCCTGGCATGTTGTCTTGAACCACGTCGGGGCCACCGACCCTACCCTGCGTTCCCGCGAAAATAAAGAAGACCAGAGTGTAAAAGGCACAACCATTTACTAGACAGCTCGGCCAAGTTTTGCGTTGTGTTGACTGGCACGGTTGAGTGTACTAGTAAAAATACAGGCGTCTGAATGGTCACACGGATGGGGCGGTTGGTGGTGGTGGCGGCGGCGGCGGCGGTGGTGGTGGTGGTGGTGGTGGTGGTGGTGGTGGTGGTGGTGGTGGTG